CAGCTTTACGTTGACAATGATAATAATCATGAAACACGTCACTAAACATTACGTGCAAGTTATAATTTCTTCACTCCGTTGGCAGTTAGTTATAAATGGGAAACGTGTGCAAAAGTCTTGCATAAACAACGGAAAGAGGGACGGGGGCTGTACAAACTGTAGGTTAATAAACAAACATGTAAATCTACATAGGTTTTTCGCGCTTAGCACTGAGCACCTGTGGCACAGACAGAGAACAATCTTATACCGAAGAGGTATCTGATGAGTCGTGTCGTTAAAATGAGCTTCTTTTCAACGCTTCAACATTTTGCGAGTCTTTCAAAACTTGCAGGCTCCGCTTTTGAACACTATAGTGGCAATGAGACTGCTGAAACAACTGCATTTTGATTGTCTGTTCCAGTGAGTCGTATGTTTTATGAAGAAATAATACTGACTGCAGTTTCGTTTACCATGTATAAATGTTTTAACTTCTACACTACAGTACAAAATATTAGTGTTGACATCAAAGGCTGACATTTTCTAAGACCACCTAAAATCATCATCTGCAATTAAAAATCACACGAACAAGGAACATTTTTAAAAACATGTTACATTAAAAATGTTGCCAAAGTAAGAAAGCAGAAAACACATTTCTTCTTGATAAACTAAAGTTGTTTTCTCTTCTATGCCAGACTAAATTTATCAAATCGAACTGGCAGTAACAACGCTAAATTGATCATTACTCCATAAAGTAATTACCTCGTTAAAGCATCAAACTCACTGTACAGTTTTACTAAGAATACAAGCTAACAATTTCGTGATTTCCTTGAAAAGAAAACGGTTTCATTACACTAACTTTCCTCCACATACAATCATTATTTCACCTGAACCTGCAGTACAGAATTACAATAATAACACTTGTTTTAGTTTCAGTGGGTATTCCTTTATAACATCAAGCCGATTTCTCCTCTATATGGCACACGAATGACTATGGTTTAATTCATGCAAAACAACACGCTTCTTAGTAATAATATCATTCTAGTTTATGATACACTTCCAATGCAAGTCATGACGACCCACCCTTGCATCGATTGCAATGTGCATGGAACCAATTGCAGACTCGAATTGGAAACGCGCCGATATAACTGTAATATTTACACTTTATAATAATCATACGTACTAAATCTTGACGACGGAAGAATCCTTACGAACTATCCATATAATGATAATTCTACATAAATATACACACGTTGATCCTTTTGACACACATGAGACGTAATCTGCATCAAAAGTAAAATACCTCTTATATGCATTAGCTTTCGGTTAAGCAACTATTCCCCTGTACAATGAGAGACGGAATTTACGGTGCAATAGACACACTGGCTGGAATGAGAAGTAACACCACGCGCGTCTGTGAAGTGAGTTGAAGTGATGGTCTTTCTACTTTTCTCTGCATTTCATTCCCATTTTCGTTTATTTTTGTTTTCCAAATACTAAATCCTTGAGCCCAGTCGAGAGAGAGAGAGCAGATGTCGAGGTGCAAGAGTCTAAGAAAGAATACAACTGTAGTAGCCATAATTATCTTCGATTGGACTTCAAGTTGTGTGAATAGTGTACAAGCTATTATCAATCATACTATAATGCTTTGCGTTAATTATTATGCATGTAATAAATGAATTATAACTGATCCGTCTCATATTTCGTTCAGACATAAATAGACGACATTTTGACGTAAAAAGCGCAGACTAAAAGGAAAAAATATTTATAACTAATCGGCAACCAATACCCGAAGAAATGCATCTGAAGAAGATTTTTTTTTATGAAAGCATATATTCCAGGACGGATCAAGAAAATTACACTTTATCGCAAGGAGATAATATTCTGTCTCTGTTCACTCTGAATCTATATAAAAAAACTATAATAAGTTAAATAAAAAATGCACCAATACATCAAAACCATACCATCATGACATTTCGAAATAACGTGTAATGATCAAAACAAATACTTGGTGAACAATTTTTATAATGGACAGACGTGTTTAAATTTCACGTTTTTTCCTTCTCTCCTATCAATTTATCCCCTCATGTTTTACTTTATTCACTTCGGAACGAACTGTATCCCAAGAAAGTTATCTTTTAATTCACAAATCGATAAATTTAAAAAATGAAATAGTCCCACCTACAATACCGAGCAAGACGCGCAATTTCAACACTCACGACAGGAGACCATAAGGCCCTAGATGCCCTGATATAAAATTGAACACCAAGCGATGCATAGCGGCTGAGGCTTTGATCGTTTCGGTTAATCATTATGCATTGTAATCGTGAGCTGCCTGATATGGCTCGGGTTCTAGTCTCCGCGTGTGTGTTTTGAATTTTCCTCAACTTTCTCGGCCTCGTTCTTTACCTGTTTCTTTTGCTATTTGCTCTCTTCTCTCCCTGTCCGTCTATCTGTACCTCTCTTTCTTTCGCTCTCTCTCTCTCTCTCTCTTTCCCATCTCTCTGTCAGTATCTATATCCATCTTTCCTCTCTCTCTCTCGTCTCTTTCTCTTTCCTACCTCTCTATCAGTCTCTATATCTATGCTTCCCCTCTCTCTTGTCTCTTGTCTCTTTCCCTTTCCGTCTTTTCTTTTCTCTCGTTCCCTTTCTCTGTGGTGATCGGCTGCAGGCTGGACTTGGGTCGGCGGGCTGGATGGCTTCAGATTATGCTGCTGTACAGGCTGGAGAAGACTGGTCGGTTCCCTTGGATGGCTGAGTGAGGTTGGTAACTAACAAACTTCCTGCTAAGGGATTCGAACGCCCGTTGAGGAGCGCGCTCTCGTGTGCACGCAGGAGGGTTCGAAACTCCTTCAAGTGGAGGATTGTTAGTTACGTGGCTGAGACTTGGTTAAGCGTTCGGGCGCCTCGCGATCACCTCATGATCGTCTGCCTGCGGGGGAAAGCCAGCGTTAGCCCTGGGACGAATGGCAAGGGATGTGTCTCATTTTTAAATATAATATATATATATATATATATATAATATTATATATATATATATATATATATGATAGATACATAGACGGCTAGATAGATAAATAAATACTTATACACAAACACACACAGATATATATATATATTATATATATATATATATATATATATATATATATATATTATATATATATATATATATATATATATGATTACATACATAGATGGCTCGATAGATAAATAAATACTTATATATATATATATATATATATATATATATATATATATATATATATGCACATATATATATATATATTATGTATGTATATATATACATACATACATACATACATATATAATATACATATATATGTATGTATGTATATATATACATACATATATATATATATATATATATATATTATATATATATATATATATATATATACACATGTACACATACACATATATAAATAAATATATAAATACATATATACATATAGATGTATATATGTATATATGTATATATATGTATAATATATGCATATATATGTATATAGTATATATGTATATATGTATATATGTGTATATGTATATATATGTATATATAGATAGATAGATAGATAGATAGATAGATAGATAGATAGATAGATAGATAGAGATGCTACAAAAATACATACGTGCACATATATATATATATATATATATATATATATATATATATATTATATATATATACATATATATATATATTTATGTATATATATATATACATACATATATACATATATATATATACATATACATATATATATATATATATATATATATATATATACATACACATATATATACATATATATATACATATACATACATATATATATATATATATATATATATATATATATATATATATATATACATATATATATATATGTCTTCCAATTACCTGCCTGCAAAGACCTCGGTTCAAACCCTGGTCGGAGAGGTTATTGATTCATAAATGTATGTGCGTAAATGTGTGTGTGTGTGTGTGTGTTGTG